TATACCTTATAGTATTAATTAATAATATATATATATATATATGTGTCTAGGATTTTGAACAATTTTGTGTAGAATTTTGTTGTTCTATGATATATTTATGGTTATATATTATATTTCATTTATTTGAATTACATTTTTCTTTTTTTATACCTTATAGTATTAATTAATAATATATATATATATGTATTATTTTTATATATTATATTATATATAATTTAATATTTATATATACTATAATATTAATATATAAATATAATATTAATTTATAAATTATATTATATTATATATATTATTATATTTTTTATATTATAATATTAATTATTATTATTATTATTATTATTGTTAATATTAATATTACCTTAAAGTAATTTTAGTAAAAAGAATAACGAAAAGTTACGAAATTCGATCAGAGTTTTTATTTTTATTTTTTTTTATTTTATTTTATTGGTTTTTTTTGTAATAAAACTCTCTTCTGTACTATTCTAAAAAATTCTACTTTTGCTTTTAAAAAAAATTCTACTACAAGTACATTGAGTTCTGCAAAGTTAATGATCGTGGCAACAGTTAATAAAACTCACCGGTTAAGAAAAGTTCGGTGCTTACTTTGCAAAACGTTACCGGTGGTATGATACCAGTGGAAATTACCGAACGTGGCCACTTACATTAACCTGCCCTGTCGTTCGTAGGAGTAGTCTCATGGGACATTTCTTCTTGTTCTTCTTCCACTTGTTCTTCATTTCTTTCTATTTTTTTGTCCATTGCCACGTTACTACTTTCAACGTTAATCGACTCACCAGCTGGATCTAACGTAAAACCGTATTTGAGTTTATTTGAGTTTTTTTTTTTTTTTTTAGTTTCAAGCTTAACGTTTGCTTTTATATTTCAACTTTTCTATCTTTTTCTTTTTTTTCTTTTTTTTCTCTTTTTTTTTTCGTTATATTTGTTTCTGTATCTGGCTCTATGTGTTTGTACAAAGCTTTTTTTTTTTTTTTTTATAAATGAAATACGAAACTTTGAAATTGTGTTCTATCAAATTGTAAGAAATGAAAAATATTTGAGATATCTTTTGTGGTTTTTACAAAAGATTTCAAATGTCATATGTAAAAT